GAATGTTTTTCTGGGCAAAAATCTCATAAATAGGTTAGAAATGTGGGCAACCTCAGATATTTTGACCCCCTTGGACGTAACCCTGGCTCGGCCACTGGTTGTACTAAGTTGTAGTCGTCCAGACCAGAGAATAGAGAAAATTGCTAGTGTGTCAAGCACAATTTCACTGAACATTGAGAATTCGTAGATTTTGGGGTAAGCGACGTAGATTCCGAATGAATTAATTTTATTAAAACGAAATTTATAGACAGCAACTCGAGAGTTTTTAAGGTATAGTACTAATAGAAGTTTAGCATGCTTCGTCTAGCTAGCGACACTCAGGAAGTTCATACTTCCAAAATCTTTACAACTAAAGTAAGCTTTACACTATTTCCTAAATATCTGAGCATTAAGTATTGAAATATCGACTGTCTTGTTCACCTGTAATCAGAGTAGGTCTATCTAAGAGCTGACAGGGGGATGGACTAACGGATGTGGTCTTACGGTAATTGACAATTACAATTTTTCTGAAGTTATTGATTAAGTAATAGTTTAAATTCCATGGGAAAATTTATTATAGGTTGGGCGAGGTGAGGTCAAGGAACTAGCTGTAATAGCCTAGTTTGACATGGGAGTGGGGGCCAGATATAATCAGTTCACACTCGTCAACACTTGGCAACTTTTTCTTATGACATTAAAATCAGCGGTTGCGGTTAAATGATTTAAACAAGTTGGAACACGTGAAGAAATATCTAATTAACAATGGTCACTAATTACAGCTAATCGGTTGTTATATTAGTTTACTTATAATCCACTGACTAATCTATATCTTGTAGTCATTAGGTTTCAAATTTCAAATTGTTTTCTCAGAGTGCGTGACGTCACAAGACCCACAGTTTTAAGGAATCGCAACGTTTCATAAAGATGTGCAATGATGCTTTTGAACTCCCTTGTTGAAATATTACAATGAATATGTGATGGTAATTCTTCACATCTGATGGTACTTGGGCAATTCAGCATCCCTTTCAGAGGGTTCACATAGCTAATAATGTTTATTTGGTATTTAGGTTTTCTAACCCTCATAGCCAACATTGTTATATGGTATTATGGTCTGTCAACTCGGCATCCCTTTCAGAGAGTCCACACAGCTATTAATATTGACATAGTTTCTGGGTTTCTATTAACTATCAATGGTTTAATAACAATTCGAACCACACAGCCTAAATTTATATAACATATTTATAACACACATCACATAAAACAGGTTTGAAATAGATTTCTACAATAGATGTTGAAATATTGAGGGAAACCCGTACAATAGTTAATATAAGTTGTCTATGACAGTAGAAAAGAATGGGAAAAGGGCAAGGCTAAAATTTTCTATTTTGTTTAACAAGGCGTGGACACCTTCTTCTTAATGGAGGTAGCTTGAACAAGTTTTTAAATACACCGAATATAGTCGAGGTAGGGCTACACCCAGGTTCACTGAGGTAGAACGGACTTAAATCCCTGTGTATAACAAACCTTACCGTCATCTAGCTATTAATAACAGTGTGGACTACAGGACTGGGGGTAGTGTACCATAGACCCTCCAAAATATCGTGAAATTGTGAAATATTTGTGTAAAAAGTGTCTTAAAATAAGTAACTCGAGGATAATGTTATAATAAAGAT